TATTAATTTGCGTATTTTTGGATTTGTTCAACACAGCTGATCCTTACCTTTTGAATGTTTCGATTAAGATTTGATAGTCTTAGTTACATATTAACGAAAAGATCAATAGAATTAAGCCAAATCCTTTCGAATTTCAAATTGTTCCTTTCAACTTGATTTACGTGAATCATTTTGTTCACATAATTCTTCAAACAAATGAGGCTATGGAGTTAAAACTAAATCGAACATTAAATATCTTGGATTATGTCTTTCTTTTTTTATTCTTCCGGTTGCTCCACATTCTGTTGGTTTCCAGAACGATAGTTCAGTATATATTCTATATTTGGAAATTGCTTCAGGCTGGTATCACCCAGTCTTCACCTTTACAATTTGTTAACTTTTGTATTCTGCGTATCTCTCTTCGCTACTTCTGCTTAATCTTTTATAGGGCGCTTCAAAAAGAATGATATTACCAGGGGCATTGAAGGCTGTCAGTGGGAGTAGTGTGTCTTTAAGCCAACTCGTTAATGCTGTTGGGAAAAACTCTAGAACTTATTCAATAAACTGACAGAAAGTATCTTCATGAGTTTGTGTATAGGGATTTGGTTTGTTTCAAGTTTGATAAGGCACTTATATCAGTAAGAGATACATTGAAAACCAGTATTGGACATCTGTTACATTCCACTTTGGGACTCATCAGCAGTAAGCACCCACCTGGTTACGAACACGACCAAGAATTGATAGAAGTAAGAAATCATGAGCCAGTGAGTCGGGTTCCAGTAGGTGAATAGTCTACGAGCTTGTCCTATAACAGGTAGGCCTTGGGTGCCTGCTGACAATGAGTCCCAAGCTAGGAAGAAACATTTCTGCAGTACTGGTTTTCAGTAGTTCTATAACTGACATCAACCCGTGGTCAGACTTGAAAAAATTTATCTTTTCGGACATTGGGCTCTTCTTTCACAACTTCCCTATTGCATCTCCTCTGAAGCAATTATGAGAGACTTTGTGGTCGAACGACTGAATATGAAAACTCAACGGTAATTCATCTGACGCCCATTTTATGTGGTGAAGTGTTCGGCATGAAACAAATAACTTACTGCGAAGTAGGAAATGAACGGCTCTGTTTACTCTTCCTGTGATTAATACATTATTGTCACCATCTTTATGAATTTGTAATTGTAACTTAACATTTATATACGACTGACATTCTTATAAATGTAAACGTTCTGTTAATCATTTTTCGTCTTGCTGTTTGATATAAAGAGAACACTAGATACGCTATTGTACCACATGCTGAGAATTTCATACTGTATCAAAAGTACTGTTTGAAATGAGGCCAGAACCATGATTATTATTATTAATAGAAGTAAAATTCCTATTTACCTGCAAGATCAAGTTCACTGAATAGACAGAAAGATGAGCATCTACTCGCTTCGCCGAAGACATTACAAAGAGCTGAGACTCGATAGTCCTCAGTCATTTACAGATCCATTTGCTCAACGTCTAATCGGCACATAAAGTAACAATTATGTATCACGTTTTCTACTATTATTATTATTATCACTATCATTTTTGCGCCGCTGATTGTTACTCACTTAACCGAGCTCTTATCTCTTGTAAATGCCTTCTTGTACATTACTAAGTAATCTTCCTGTATATTGTTGGTCACTTATTGTATTTTGCAAGCCACCTAACGGGATCGCTGGAATCTTCGTGTAAACAACTTAATTTAAACAACTAGTTTGTTTTCGTATAAGTTTTAATAATTATGCTATCGCATTCCACTGATTTCTGTGCACTACAGTTTTCTTACCTAAACTCTGCTGGGTAGGATAAAATAGGTATGTCCTTATATCTCTAATCCCATGTATATTTGAGGCTGTCTTGTAGCTGAAGAGAACTCCAGAAATGAAATGTGTATATCTGATGCTGAAAATCATGTTCTTCTTACTTTGTTCAAAGTAAACACGGGTTGAGATTGTAGGAAAGTTTAAACAGTTAAGGAATTATGCAGTGAAAAATATATGCATAACTGTTAAGTGCACTCATTATTATTTCACACTACTTTCAGAAATTACAATCTTAATATCAGTGATTTCGATTCTGAACCACATCTAATAATGTCACTTAGATTCAGTTCACACGTCAAGGAGAGGTTTATTAGCCAGCTTGCCTAACTGTATAAAACGAACTGTTTATTTAAATGTCTAAGCTAGAGTACTTTTAAGTAACTATGTTTTACAATTGCATTTGTAGTTTTACAAATGCGATAAACAGAGAGACACTTCTTCGTCAGGTTTCATGAACACATTTCGTTAATTTTATTCCTCAGAGATCTAGTCATTTCGAGCAGTTAACATGTCGAAATAATTTTCGATAATGAGAGGTAAATGGATTTTTCGTCTGTTTTCAATAGCTGAAGTCAGTACCATTTGATAATTTGTTTCAAGGGACACTTGCTCACATATGGTTGTTATGATGATTACTGTTATTTATTTTCATTTTTAACTTTTAAGAGACCCCTAATAACCTTAATACTTTTCTTAACAATTTTTCTTATTATCTGTTATTAAGGCGGATAAGTAGAAACATAAAGGCTAACTGGATTACATAGTGAATTTGTTCCACTTACTTTGAACTATTTTAACAATCTTTGCCCAAATTATTGACATAAAAGTTGAAATAAAGGACAATTTATTCGAAAAGAAATTTGAGAGGGAGAAGGATAACAAAAGCAGATTGGCAGGCAAATCAAACTGAGTGCGAATTTCTAAACAATGACACTTTCTAACCATCACTCCATTTGTGATGTTTAGTAATTTCAAGTCCTGTGTAGGCAGTTTATTCTCGTGACTGCATGACTAGCTTAATCCTAATTTGTGGATCAAACAGATTTTTTGTTTGATTCGAATCTTAATTAATTTAGTGTACATTAAGATATATACTGGAGAACTCTGAAGTAATTTGTAACCAGTAGGCGTTGAAATGACTTTCCACTTAAACTGTAATAATTTATTCTACGATATGTCTATCTATTTTAGTCAATTGACGAAAAGCCATTGAAATGAAGTTCATTCACCGTATTCCCAACATACTGTTCTTATTAGTTCATTTGTTGTTAAATTTATAAAACAGCACTGAAGTTACACTGACAAGCAAGGAAGTATGACCGATGGTTATTAATCAGGAGTATAAAGTAAACACAGTCCGTGTGTCCAACAATTCATACTTTGTGTATTCAATGCTTTGTACTCCAAATTAGCCAGAAATACATTTTACACTCTCTCTATATATATTTATTAATGAATAACACGATATCTCATTTGTTATTTGTTCTCTGGAGATGCTTGGCTGTAAAGGGAATGCCGAGAAAATACATTGCACTGATTAAGGCACTCTACTCGTACTCATACAGCCAGGTGAGGGCATACGGCGAGTTGTCATCTGAACTGGTGACAACTAGTGGTGTCCGTCAAGGATGCCCATTATCCCCATTTCTATTCAACTTCATCATAGATGTACTAATGGACTTAACCTTAACTCACTTCAGCGACTCAGGGATTGACTTGCTACCAGGGAATAATTTCGTTGACTTAGAATATGCAGACGATATAGTCCTTCTAGGAGAAGACGCTGAAAAAATGCAGAGTCCTCTAAACACCTTGAGCCGCAATCTACGAATGTTTGGAATGCGATTCGCTCCCGCCAAATGCAAGATGATGTTACAGGACTGGACTATATCGATGCCTAGTTTAAAAATAGGAAGTGAAGTGGTAGAGCACATTGACCGCTTCACTTATTTGGGAAGTACCATCAGCCAGTGCCAACGGGTTGATCTCTGACGAAATCTCAGCACGGATACAGGGGGCTCGTTTCGCATTTGCCAGTTTACGCCGTCTCTGGCGTAGACGAGATGTTCGACTATCGACCAAAGGGCGTGTGTACTGCTCATCAGTCCGCTCGGTCCTCCTTTATGGCTGTGAGACCTGGCCATTGAGAGTGGAAGACATGAAAAGATTAGCTGTCTTTGATCATAGGTGCCTGCATTCTATCTCCCGTGTGAAGTGGTATAATAAGGTGAGCAATATTGAGGTTAGGCGTCGAGTTCTAGGTAAACAGGGGAAATCAATCGACGAGGTTGTGAAGTCACATAGACTGAGATGGTTAGAACATGTGTAACATATGCCTAGTCATCGCCTTCCTCGACGAGCAATGTTAGCGGATATAGGGTCAGGCTGGAAAAAAGCTAGCGGAGGTCAAACAAAAACATGGCACCAGTCAATGAAATCTACAGCAGTTAGTCTAAGCCAGTGACGTAGAAAGGTGTAGACTTCCTCACTGGTTGGGGTCCTCGGGACGGTAAAAACCAATGGTTGGAAAAAATTGGTGACATGGCTCAAAATCGTTCTCCATGGCTGGCGCAGAAGCACCCACTCCTTCTGACTTATTATTTCCAATGAAAATGTTTTGTTCTTCGTTATTACTGTTCCTTTGTCTTAAACCTCTGTTTAATGTCTCTATTATGCATTTCTTCTACTTTCTCCCCTTGCTTTGTGTGCTACATGGAGTGTGGCGACTTGAATTGCCGTACATATGTGCAAAGTTTTATGTCGAGAACAGACAGACAGACATTATTTGTTTGAATTTCATAACTAGCTTTGGATTGTAGCAATGAACTTCTTAAAATTAATTACCAGCTAATAAAATGAAAAACTAAGCAAGATGAAGTGCGGGGGGGGTTCTAAATTGTGTTCTGCCTTTGTTAAATTTTACTACAACGAATAATAAAAATCCATTGACAAACTTCAGAAGTACAGCTGCTTCAACAATATGACTAGTTCATAAAATTCTGTAAAACTGTGACACTATTAGTTAGCTTCAGTAGCAGTTTTCACTGCTTAACGTTTATTATATCTGCTAGTTTATAAACAGAACACAAAACTTCTAAATCAGAAACGTTTATTTAAAAACTAGCGAATCTACTTCTGCGTCAGTTTTATCTCTACTCCCCATCACTTCAATCACTCTTCATCTTCCAAAATCACTTCAATAGCATCAGGGTCACAATACCCAACACGTAAAGTAGGACATGCAGCAGCACAGAAATTGTAAGCTCTGTAACGTGGGGATATTTTCCTGTCTTCAATCCAGAACGAAGCGAACAGACCTTTAAAAGTGAATCATAAAATAATGTCAGTACTCATCAAAACATAAAGTTTACAAACTCCAACATGATATGATGGAAAAAAGTTATATCAAAATGAGATATATAAAGTGACACCATATTTAAATGCTTAGCAATAACACCAACACTAGACAAGATTTAGGGTCAATTTAATTATTATTATATCAAAAAGTATCACGTAATAACAGTTTAAATTAGCCTGCGATAACCTGCTTGATGTTTCTGATCTGAAGGAGGTAGAATTTTATAGGCTTGAAAATTCTGATTGATATTCACTAATCTATAAATTTACAAACACTTCTGTTCCTGATGAAGTTAATGTTGAGGTTGTTACCAAAGGTTGTAGAGAAACATCCCCGGCAAAGTACAGAAGCTCGAATCCAAAGCGAATTACTCTCATCTTCATTCAGAGCTAAAGATCTCCCTAATTTGTTCATGTGTTCTACACAATAAGAGCAGTTGTTCTTTCAAATCAGTAGAACCTCAGGTACCCTAGAAATGTTTTTGGATTCTCCGTACTACATTTTTCATTGTAATCATATAATGAGGCAACTCAAAACTTCTTAATACAGCACACCACGAACCACGAACGATATTACTCAGTTAACCATATAAAGATAGGCAAAAATGAAATTCGTAGCTATGACATCTGAAATTATCACGTTTCAGGAGTTCAGTTGTCTTCTAGACCAGCCAGGGATGAGCCTGCAAAGCCTATCTTCAAAGTGCAATAAATATTTCAGAGATAAAGCAACTGTCGCATTCGGTCAAGTTACAGTCGGTGATCAAATCACTTCAGTAGAGAGAAATGGAGAGAGAAAATCCCGTTGAAACGAACAGTGGTTCATAGTTCTGTTGAAACTAGCTTGATAAAATTCTCACAATATGGCACTGCGTATAAAAATATCCTGAGAACTGGATTCTCGTCTTACCCCTTAGCAAAAGGTGAAACCATTATTTAGTGATTCAATTGAAACATCATGCAAATGAATAATCAAATTAACAACTTACCAACGATGCAAATGCATCCACAGGAAGTAAACTGTAAGACATATGCATTTTCATTAGTAATGACAGTCGATATAATTCCACAGAGAATGCTACCCACCGCCTCGAAAACAGGAAAATGTAAATCAGTTAGTCTTCGAATAAACCATCACACGTCAGAAGACTAAAAAACTCTAGTGACAAGCCATTTCAATCATATCACTTTCATTATTCGATTCCAATAAAATAATTCACATAAATAATAATAATAATGATTTACTTTATTCCAAAAACAGTACTTGTGATACAGAATGGAATTTTCAGCATTAATCACAATACTGCATCTAATTTCCTCAAATTATAAATAAAAATTAATCACACAGAAAAGTTTCCACATTTACAATAGAGGTAGTGTCAAAAACATGCAGCATATAAAATGGAAATAGCAATAATAATGATGACAGCTAGGGTAATAATAATAAGAATACAAGTGAAAATTGCCGTTGGCTTGTGTCACACAGTATTAGCAATGTGGTATAGAAATCCTAACATGTTTAAAAATATTGAATATAACGTTCTCTTTACATGATATGGTGAAGGGAAAAACAAAGATTACAGCCGTCAAGGAGATAAGTTGGTGTTTGCAATTATGAGAGTAATACAGAGAAGTAACAGGACCATAAATACAATAGAAATAATAAAAGTAAAACTTGAAGGTATATAAGGATGGATGGAGGAAATTGTTTATTTACTAGATGAAAAAAAATTAGTTAGCTCTTGCCTGACACTATTTTCATCACATAAAATACGTGCCAAGTATGATATCATAGAATTCTTATACTTAGACGTGCGAGCATACAGTTTTCTAAAGTTACTCCTTGTTCTACCTGAGGAAATGCAAGGTGAAAGCTGAGGGTAAAGTGGATGCTCCAAGTCAGACAAAATCCCTCTAGCAAATTTATTGCACGAAGTCAAGTGCCTATCGACAACGACGTTAACTATGTGGTCCACTGGGACACCATTCACCCTACTGACAGTCTTCAGCATTCTACGAATTGTGACATAGTCTTTTTTAAGCAAACCAGGAAAGAATAAGGGTGAGCAATAAAGAAGAATAGGTAGGATGCAAGAGTTTATGAACTGTAAGAGGAGGGGTTGAGTTATACCCGAGTGTCTTAACTTCTTTATGTAAAATGTCAGGCGGAATTTTTTACTGGAGATTGCTAAGACATGGGAAGACCAGGAGAGAGAGATCAGAAGAGAGAATAAGTCCAAGATACTTAATTTCTGATTTAATTCCTATATCATTGTCGTCAATTTTACAACTGTCATAAGAATCGATGACTTCTTTTAACTGTCTTTCATATCTTAAGCTGAAATTAACAGTTTGACATTTAGAAGGATTCAGTTTAAGACCGTTAGTCTCGGACCATTTACTGACTCTGGACAGAAAGCTATTTATTTTGGTATTATTTATTTTTATTTTTTTAAATTTTTGATTACAGCTTGATTCCACACTGCATTTTTGGTACAATTGTGGAATTTTCAGCGTGGATATCGGTAGCCCAAAATTCTCAGGCCGACCATAGATATCAGGTGTGCGTCGGCGTGGGCTCGAATCCCGGACCATGTGCAAGGTCGGCGAGATTCCTAACCACTATGCCACTGACGCACAATCTAGCTGGGAGTTAACAGCCATTGAAACCGTTAAATCATCAACGTAATTCACAAAGTTTATTTCATTAGAGTGAGGCAAGTCATGCAAGAAGAAAGAAAAAAAGACAAGGAGAAATGACAGCGCCTTGAGGGACACCAGCTTCAGTAGGCAATGAAGTGGAAGACTTCCCTTTATACACAGTGTACTGCTTTCTTTCTGAGAAATAGGAATGTAACCAGTTAACAGCCCAACATTCTGTTTGACTAGCAGCAAGTTTATTTAATAAGACGTCCCTAGGGACCGAGTCAAAAGCAGATGTATAGTCTAGAAAGGCAAAACGAACAAATTTAGCCCCCTTGTCTAGACTGGAAACAATGTTATGATATAAGACGGCAGCTGCATCTAAAGTGCTTCTACTGTGGTTATAGGCAAATTGTTTAGGGTCATTAAAGGATTTAAGCGAAGGTGCAAGACTAAGTAAAAGTAATTTCTCCATAGTGCTCAAAAAAGGAGAGGTAAAGCAATGGGTCTAAATTTGACACAAGTTCCAGTAGATAATTTAAGTATGGGTACAACTTTAATGTCCTTCCAAACAGCAGGCACAATATTATCGGAAAAAGATTTTAAAATAGATCAGTAAGAGGGTGACACAGAATATCAGAGCATTTTTTAAAAATAATACTAGGTACATAATCTGGACTTAAGCTCTGGGAAGGGTTTAGAGACTTGAGGCACTTTTGAACATCATTTGTGTTAAAACCTGGAAAGGGGCTATTATTAACACTTATTTTGAAGAAATAAGCAGACATATAAAAATTGTCTCCCACCCTGTTGTTCATCTAATATACACATATTAAACTAATTGGTACAGTCAGATCCTGTATTGTAGTGAGAGTAAGTGACATGTTGCTATGCTGTTCAAAATGCATTAGAGTAAATACATCCAAATACTAGTTCATTCATAATCCTATGTCTTTTGAATAACTTAGTAATATGGTGGTTAATTTCAGCCCTATATGGTCTTTAATCCTACTTGTATTAGCCTAAATTTGTTTTTTTCGCAGTATCTGAATTGCTGACACATACTTGTTATCACAGCAACAAGCTTTTTATTTATACACTTGAGAACAGACGGCAAAACATGGGAAATTATGAAATGTCTTGATAATTCTTCAGTCTGTTCAGCTTATCTGCATTTGACATATTATATGAGCATCCAATTATAAACCTTCAAGTTAAATTACAGCCACGTATCTCCGAGACCGATAAGCAAGACACAAAAAATCAGTTAGACAAACGGTTAAGACATTCATACAGTTAAATGGGAAATGGTGGAACCTGATGATTAAGGACATGATTAATTGATGTAAGTTGTATGATATCAGCTGCAAAAAATACCTGCAGTTGCAGTTACTCCACTTATTTAAAAGATGCACACTCGGAGTTCCCAAGTTTAGCCAAATATCTACCAATTACAAAGAGTTTAGAACTGCTGCAGAAGTAAAGGTATGCATTCACTTCAAATGAAGATATTTTTTAGTTTAACTCATCTGTGAATAAAACAATTTTGTAATGTACGCAAGTTATCTACTAAATCCTCCTTTAGATTTTTGTTCCAACCTATCTCCATTTGATAGTTTCACTGGAATAATATATTATAAGAATGAATCTAGAGTCACTGAAACTTAGCCTTTTGATTTTATTTTTGTCCTTAATGGCTGCCTTACAGATAAGGTGCGATTAGAGTGGGATGATACAGAAAATTTCCATGTGCTGAACGCCTCCAAATAAGAGCATAAATCTTAGAAAACTCACTACATATCATTTGATGTCATTCCTCTTCAAAGTGAAGCAATTGATACTATGAGTTACTTTATTTGTAATACACTATACATGGAATCATACAGTGAAACACTGGTTTCTTCCTGCTAATGAAAATTACATTTTATTTAGTAAGGAAATTATTATTTATTTTAACACAGTTATAAATATCACTTAGGCACTGAAATCTATTTCGAAAATTCACTAGTTGATATGTGAAGTGTGAATGTTTTTAGACTTTGCGGACATTTGAATAAATAACTTACAAATGCACTGAATACACAGCCATAATTCACCGCCATATTTAAAGGTCCAAAAACAACCCCAGTAGCTGCGGGTTGAATGGTGAAGACGCCACTCAATGAAAAGTGCAAAACAAATACCCAGATAGCGTAAACAGCTTTCAGTGAATCACCAGTCAGTCCTCCAATATGTGGGAAACTCAGAAGCACTACTGCCCAAATTATATGCATGATTGTCATTGGTATCTGAAATTGAATAAAATGTTTCACGAAATTACAACGAGTTTCCACTTCAAAGAGATGTTAATTGGTGATGAAGATCGATTAAACAAGCTACACCTGCGAGAAAAGACATGATAAATAAAACATGTTAAGTGATATCTATAAGATGTTAGTTAATATACAAGTAAACATCACAGCTTATATACTATCTCTTTTGAGTAGGTTTAAAATGAAAACATTCCACCTACCCTGTCTTGTTTGAGAACAGCCACTTCTATCCTCGGAACATTTGACAACCATTGTATTTCATTGTGTTATAAAATCAAGCAAGAGTGTGATACTGAATACTTAAAAGAATTGACACAAACACTGTCCCACATTATTTGTTCATCTAAAAGTATATTACGATTAGTTCCTACGAGAGAGTATCTTGTTTGTTTATTGTGGAATGTCGGAAGTAGAACTCGACTGGAAATATGGGGAGTATACTTGCGTCATTACACGCATCAGGTGTTGGCAGGAGTCAGAAGAAAGTGAAAGCTGAGTCAGGGTTTTATGTGTCTTGTAATTTATCAGCACTGTGTATCTGTGATTTCAATAAGATGTATAACTGTTTCATAATTCATACCTGCGCCAGAAACTTCGTTGCTAAGCTATTCACATTGTGACTATCGGCTAATTGTGGGACTGATTTGTACATACGAATTTGTGAAATGGCATTAATCAATGTATCTATCAATCCTAAATGTTTTGACCTGGTGGTTGTTCAAAAGAAGGTCCTTACTTTTCTCATTCCCTCTTCATCAGACCCTTACAATAGCATTAGTTACTTACTTCTAAAATAAGACTTTCAAAAGTTATCACACCACCCGACAACTGGTTAAATTAGTGTGATGTACAAGTTAGATTACCATGTCAGCATATCAACAAGTTACATCAGAGATCACCATCCACTGGAAATTCAGTGTAAAACAAGGAGCTGAGTAGTTGTTTCACCTGATTGGGGCAGTGAATACAATAAATAGTGTTTATTAAGATTAACAAGTCTTCCCTTATTTATCAAACTGTATTACGGATGTCCTTAACGATGCAAAAACTTTCTCATTTGCTTTCATAAAATTTGTCTAATAGTGCACAAACAACACGAAACTATTAGTTGATGCCGACGGAAGGGTTCAAAATCTTCTGGATATTTTAAATGACGATTTTAGTATTTTGGTATGTTCTCCCGCTAATAAATAGAAATTAAAACTTCAAGACTGGTAGTCTGCGATACCAAACCTGACAACAAGTATTTGTAGATAATGATGATTGTTATTTGCACTAAAAGATACATCATACTTGATGGTTCGGAGATTTGAAAAATCCTTATCTAGCTTTGGATAATGAACATTCATTGGGATGGAAAACAAGTCAATTGATAACTTCAAAAGGCACAATGGACTAAAGTTAGCAAATGAATACATCGTCCGACGCTTACCCTGAGGTGTACTGTAGGTTAGGTTATCATTAGGCTTATATAAAATTAAGGATCTCCTTCCCAGTTGTAATACTTTTAGTCTTTAGTTTTTCCATTGCGGTCTGTTGCATATCACTTATTTTTCATACTGTCATCTTTTTTCTTTCTTTTTATTACTTTATACTTGATGCTTAAGTCTGACTTTTGACATCGCGAAGTGCTATATAGTTCTTCCAGGTCATGCATACCCTAGTAACATTTATATACCATCACGTATGAGTGGATACATAATCTACCGAAAGCACCTCAAGGTACTAGGTTGAAAATATTCGTCAGCTAAGTTCACTAGTAATGAAAACTGACTTGCTTTTTTGTGATTTTTGAGCTTATAACATTAACGAAGGCTTTCGAGATCGGTAACTTACATAATCTTTGGTGAGCAAGCATTAATATGTGGGAATGTACAATACTTTCGCCCTTATAAATTTTTCGATTCTTATACAGAATAAGTGAACAATAATCAGTTACACTCTGCTTATTGCTTGAAAATATAACGTCTTTACTTGCCTTGAAAGATAATCGATCGACAGTTCCACCCCAAGCAATACGACCTCCAGCATTAAAGACGGATGACAATGTAGCGACAATGGATAAAAATTGATCATCATTAATTAACTGTTGACCAAATAGCTAAGGAGAAATAAAAATTCAGGGGAATATATATATATATATATATATTTTTAACAGAGGATTTGGATTGCAAGCTTACAACTGTAAAATCCAAATGTATTTAAATATCCTTTTGTAATCTTAATCATAAGATATTCGATATTGTTTCTTGATATGATAAAGCTAATGGATATCTTCTGACACCATAAAAAAATACTAAATTATTTCTAAAAGGCTACTGGAATCTAATTTTCTCTAAAGAATAAAGTGTTAAATTAAAGTGTTAACCATTCTGCAAACAACACTCAGAGTTCAATGTTAAACCACCATGAAGAGTCTAAAGATAATCCAGAAACCATACACCTTGTAAATGAATTCTAAGCTATTCAAAAGTATTTTATTAAAAACCAAATCATACTCCTTTCGTCAGTTCAGACGCTTTCTCTTAATCAATTTTAGTTTTTATACTGCGAATGAAGTCCATAATATCACTTAGAGAACACTTCAAGAAACTGCCCTACTGAAGGTAATTTAAAATGACCAAATCTGTCAGATTCAGGATAAAGATGTTATTATAGTTTTGTTTGTTTTTATACAACGTTTGTCAGGAATAATCATTAGTGAGTAACGACTTATACATAGTTTACTTCAAATATGACATACTTCGCGTGGTAACAAAGAGGCTTGTTTGTAGAGATGTGATACTACTGTGAATATAAAACATCTATCACTGTTTACCTGTTTAATTGTATACAATTACAAAAATTAGGAGTACATATGAAAGAACACTAAGTAGGTTATTTTCACTACATGCTTATACTAGAATGACTCACTTTATAAACTGATGTAATTATAGTGATAGGTATAATATCACAGAACATCACAAACCATAAGAGATAGAAGTCTATATGTCGTAGCAGTTGTTTAGGTGGAACATTCACTTCTCTGAAAATGAAAGTGATAGAAAAATTATACACACGATGCGAATGAGAAACTAAATTGGCTTCTATATTTCCAAAGCAAGTTGACTTTTAACAGATTGGAAAGATTTGGTAATGGGGTTTATAATATTCATCACTCTAAAAGATTTTGTATTTCCCAATGAATGAGAAACAAAACGATATTGTTCTTAACGACATTTCGCTACTTGGTGCTAATAGCTTTATCAAAGTATTATTAAACCAGAATTTACAAAATCTCATCTTATATATACATATAACAACTTAATCATCGTTCATTAGCATTAGCTAACAATAATATTTTGATAGAACTATCAGCATTAAATAGCGAAATGTCAGTAAAAACAATATCGTTTTGTTTTCCATTCATTGGAAATACAAAATCTTTTATAAATTGGCTTCTTGTTAAATAGTAGAATAAATTCCAGAAAGCAGTTCTGATTTCATTTTTTTAATGGCTTACTGTTTTGTTGTTTTGTTAGGTGCTATGTCCATAATACTCTACAAAGTTTACACAGAAATTTGCATATAATACATAGTAATCTTAGACGGTTATATAATTATTTCTTTTCAATTACCTGGAAACATTTTCCACAAAGTCTGAGGCTGTGTAAATTCAGACATGAATTGCAGAACAAAATGCTGTATTGAAATGTTTTTAAGCTGACTATAGATGAACACAAGCAATTAATTACTCCTTATAATCCTTAAAAATTTCAATAGACTGAAGATCTACAGTGATTAGTTTGCTTTTCAATTAGTGTCATTTAATTCCAGCTATCTGATATTTGTTACACTGTTGTTGTTTCTCTTATTACCTTAGAGGGTGGCGGTGGGAAATGTGTTTTGTTTTCATGTTTAGTATCAATTTAAGTGTGTGAATTGTGAATTTCAGCAAGAATAAAAAAATTATATAGACAACCATGCTACTTTTCAAAATCTTATGTAAAGTCAAGCCGGTCAAATCTGTTGAGCTTTCAGTTTAATAGCATCAAATAAAATAGCGAATAACCATAGCTTGAGAGTGTGTCGTATGCACAAAACTTACATTCTGGGTTCTTCTTCTGTAAATTCCCTCTGAGAAAATTGTAGCGTTTTTGTAATAAAGCATCAGTACTTTTGACTTCATATAAATTACTCACCTCACATATGAACGAATCACAACTTTTATACTCGAGTTGTACTGAGGATAAATAACTATTTATTGATATAATGAAACTGCACCTAGAGATTTTTATTTTTAGGACACAGATCATGTAAGGTATTAAATAATCTTGCTAAGCGACGAGAATCGGACAAGGATCCACCAAGTCTTCAAAAGTTAAGCTTAAGCTTATTTTAAAAAGTCCATTTGACAAGTGAAAAAATTTGAAAATGATAAGTATGTTAACTCACTATACTTAATTCAGCTCCACTTACATCAACCTTAGTCATTAAACCATAGATTACTAGTCTGAGTGTTTATTCCAGATTCTTCATAAAATCCTCCTACGACAAGATTATAAGTTTCAATTAAAAGAAGTAAAAAACACTGACAGTAAAGCATAAGTTCATTAAGTAGGTTGAGTTGCACGTATATTTTTACTGATTACACACTGACTGTGGAGATTGTCAGACAATGTATAATTCGAGATTCCAAACGGCTTATAGAAGCCATGTTTTCATCTATTTTTCTCGCGGAGTAGACATTCGTATGTATTATTTGTTGTCAGAGCAAAGTGAATAATATTCATTAGTATTTTTCGATTGTTTCATATTTTCGTATAATCTAATGAAATAATAAACTGTACACATTACGACTATTTATGTGGGAAAAAATCTAAAGATATTTAATTTTCGATGCAGAATGGCCTAAAAGCATATACAAATCAGTCTCAGTAAAGACTAGATTTTAAATTTAAATGAACTTACAATAAATGCATTGTGATCGGAATGGATTCTGTTTCGGACAGTCATTTCTAGTTCTGAATTGTGTGCCTTGAGGAGGGAAAAGTTGTTTAAGTCTATTTAAGCGAGAGAAGTCTCAATAGAAAAATATTTCAGATTACAGTGGGAAGTAAAAAAAATACCGGTCAAAGGAAAAAAGGGAACAGTTGGCAGTACAATCTTGATATCTTTTCTATTAAATTTTAGACGAAACTCTGGGAAAAATGATTTTCATCGCAAAGTGTATCACGTTTTGATGTAGAGTTGAACTTCGAACACTTTTTCAGTTTAAAGATTCAGTTAAATCTCTCTTAATTCATTTCACCCTAATTATTATATACAATATTTTCCTCTTAGAGAGAAAAACTGCAAAAGTGTAGGCTCCTTTCGTTACTTTTGGACTGAAATGATTGGTTTCGTGGTATGTAAAAATGAAGTCAGAGAGGGCTGATGAATTCCATTCCGGGTGAAAATCATCCAGTAAATTTCAGTGCTGAGGGTCACGAAACAAGTGCTTATTATACGCTTATTTAGGACTCACGTGTTATAAGAAAAATAAGCCTAGTAATGGTAAAAATATAAAGCAAATGGTGATTATCATCGTTTCGAAGCACATGATACATAAAGCTAGTTGTGAATACTTAGTTGATACATTTAAAAACAGAGGCCATCACTCCTTGATAAAGTTTTACAGAACCACAAAAAATACGACTGTCCTGGAAACATTATTTTTTCGAAGTATCTACTTGCCCTTAATTTTAAGAATTATGTAAATTTCTGCAATAAATAAATGCTTTATCACGTATTACAACTAAATTGAAAAATTAATCAAAATCTAGGCTAAAAGCATACAGACTCACACTTTGAATTGGTTTCGCACGTAGCAAACAAAATCCAACAACATGTATCGCTGAAACAATGCCTCCAAGAATGAGGAAAGCTACTGGAACTCGGTCAAGAACTTCAGGGTTGGTAAATTGCCTTGAGAAGAAAAGTTAACGAAAAAACCACAAATCTAGTCTGTGAAATAAAATTTGTAATTAATTTAACCCGAAGGGATAGCTTTAGTCTATAGTTATCAAAGATGATCATATTACATAAAACTTGCTTAGATAACAGAGCTATAAAGTATTGAGAAAGGATGACAAAAAAGAGAAATGAATAAAATAAAATGTTTTGCAGATTATTCTGCCTAACACTTGAGTTGAAACGCGATTCTCTTTTAAAAGGTAAAATACATACATACAATATAATCCAGATCAGCCTTTTCATAGGAAATTTTTACAATTGGTAAAATGTTTGTGTAAAGTAAAAAAACCTAACTACATAATTCCATCTATTTAAAAACACAAAATATTTCCCTTAATATAACAATGTCAGGGAATCAACGAAAGACCGAAGTGCACAGATCTTAAAAAGGAATTACGTCCAATTAGACTTCAGTCTTTGTTTTGATACGGCTTTTACTCCAACTTCATAAAACAGGTAAACTTTGAAGCGAAACAATCGATTTTCTTACTTATGTACATCTAATATTTAAATCTTACGAGCTGAATTTCTCCAACTAAACGTATAGAAGAAAGAAAGTTTCATTTATTGCTTTATACTAATGACGAAACCTGTTTCAGACCAAAAACCTTATCCAGTAGATTAAAGACGTAATAATTTCTGACAAAGCAAACATACCCTGTTTTATTTACTGTAATGAAACTGTGGAATGAACATAAATAACGGTGAAAACCTAAATGAAATGAATGTAAGGTTAAATGTGAATGATTAAGAAGCAAGGCCCAACAAGCACTGTAGGCACAGTACCATAGAATGGTCAGACAAACTGATTAGTTGTGCAAATTTTAGCATATATTCATAAGATGAGAGTAAAGCTTTCTTAGTCATATCTCAAAAAGAAACAACTACAAGATTCAAAGAACTCCTTAATTTCTGATAATTAATCTGGGGAATTATATGAAGAGAGGCAATTCTTGAAAATATCCTTCGCTCGAAAGGGAGATTACCTAAAACGTTTTGAGTTGTTTGAACTCTGCATGGCACTGTTTATTTTCGTAAGACGAAAACACTATTTTTCTGGAATTCTACACAATTTCACTGCCACTATTTTCAGCGAAAATAAAGGAGCATATCAAATTCGGATGAAACTCTCTTTTTTCGGTTCTTTTGAGGAATAAGTTAGTTAGAACACAGTTGCCTGTAACATATTTTCCGTGTACCAGACAGTGACAAACAGGTTTTGTATTAAGTTTGATGACACTGACCAAATTCAAAGGCTAAATTGGGAACAGTTTTACCCAAACCTATGATCAATAAGGAATAGTTAATTTTATTTAGTTAAAAGCATTTCGAATTTCCTCTTCAGTGCTAAAAAATGATGAACATCATTTTTAATAAAATTGATATTTATGATTGCCCATTACTAATATATGTCTGCAGGAAAGATGACTCTTCGAAATTAAAAAGCATTGAAAGAGTTAAACCACTTGTTAATGGAGGTAATTTACATTTTGTCTGTTTGCTTGCAGTATATTAATCTGCTTATTAACTTTAAAATATGTAGCAACTCTAAGGGAACATGTTTAGCTATTTTCTACTATAATTTAAAAGGCAATATTACCATATCTGATATTTTGAACCTTTAAATAAGGATGAGGTTAGATGGAAAAAGCTGCAAATATAAGTTACATTAGAGTATGTGCTCCCCAAATTACTTCTGTAGTTAACATTATTTATGTAGTTTAGTATTCACTATAAACACATAAAGTGTTGTATGAATAAGTGATGCATTTTAGTGTTTTCTCTCAACTATTTAAGGTAAAGGTTTACTTACTTTAGTTCCTCTCACTGTTTAGCGATTCGGGTGGCAAACAGCTGATGTCTTTACCCCGTTAGAGGAAATATGAAGTAAGGAAGGAAGTCCATCTATGTAGCTGTGAAACTCACTCAGTTAAGATGGACAGAAAACGTGTTCCATATGCCAGGTCACGGTCTTTGTTGAAAGGAAACATTGACTGATATAGGATGAGGTTGAAAATGAACTAAAGGTGGTCGTGAAAAAATATAGCACAAACCTATGAAGTCCTTTGGCTAATAATTAGGGCCCATGACGAGGTGCAAACCGTTTGATTACAGTCCTTATGATGCTAAAAATCAATGAATGGCGGCTGATGCTGAAATGAATCAAAATTGTCTTCATTGACGCAGATGTATTCAGTCCTTGCTATTTTTCAGATTCACCAAAACCTAATTATTCTTCATGTTATTATCCATTCTTCTCACGTTTGTAGTTTAATTTTATTTGTTTCTCCTATTTTTATAGTTGCCCTAAGACGTTACTTATGTTTCCGTTATATGCTGCCTTTAAGGTTATCCACCGTTGACTACTTTGGGTATTACACGAAATGTATTTAGACTAATGTGAAAGAAAACAGCAGATTTACATAATAGAATATGACGGGATAATTGGTTTTCTCCTGTCTACCTTACTCAAACGTAGTGGATTACTTTAAGCAGTTAATGTAAACTGTGCAGATATCAGAAACTATTTCACAGCTATAGTCCGTATTTGCATGCTCTTTTTAGAAGAAAAATTACAGCTTTTTTAGGGAATTTCTTGATTTGAAGTTATTTTTGATCATTAATCATGCAACGAAAGCCACTGAAAGCTAAGGAGTGCAGGATCCTAAGGTTTTACTTATGGGATTACAAGTTATGTTAAGTTTTTTAATCAAAAGTCAATAAAAGGACTATTATGTTCCTAAAATTGCATTATAATTCTGGTATATTGGTAAAGTTCTATAGCTCTGTTTTTCACGCCATCGCTTACATGCAACGAGGTCTACAACTCTGAAATAGCTGATGTTTCATCCGTGATTCAAAACTATGTCACCTAGTGAAAAGCTGCTCTATAAATTTAACACATTAAAAACCTATAACGCCAATTATCTCCAGAAATCAGTGTCCAGATAGTAAGTATTGTATTTCGTCTTAAATCAGTTTATTGAAGTGGATTTATTCATATTCCATCACAAATGTTATCAGCCTAAGGATAGCTGAAAAGTAAGAGCTAAGGGTCACTTCTTCTTCAACTTAGTCGGTCTAGATACGTGAGAACTAAAATGAAAATATAAGTGCTTCCTGTGAGGTTCCGGTAAAGTAGTGAGCATAATTAGATGCAATAAAACGGGTTTCCTGATATACTATTTCTGCATATATTATGTTATAAAAAACACTAAATTGGTAATGACTTATGACTTTGCGGTCGCATACACCAAAATAGGCGAAATGGTATTTGCAGGCTACAAATATAATAAGGATTATCCAAAAGTATAGGGTCAATACATTACTATGTCTTACAACATCAATATAGAAAACCTGCAAAACAAGTTTATTAAATAACATTGGGGTATTTCTAAATATTATTTTTTTAAATTGTTCTTTACTGAATACTTGATAATGAGAGCAGATAAGGTACGCTTCCGAAAAAATTCAATCTTTCAGCAATCACGATCAAGTTAAAGAAATAAATATTATTACCTCGTTATATTGTTAACAGGGAGGTTATTCGGATTGATTAACGCCGTTTGAATGGGAGTAAAGACTACAGCGCCCAAGCCAAAACCACCAACGATTAAACCGACTACAAGACCACGGTGTTCCGGAAACCACTGTTAATCGATAATCGAATGAGTTTCGTAAATTAGATAATGCAAAAGTGTTGAAACCTTTTATAGCTTAAGGATCCAAAAACAAAAAATATATACGCGTTTTCAAGAAGGCTTTAAAAGGCGGTTCATTGAGTCTTGGTACCAAAAATCTAAGGACTTTTGGCTATTTGCTCACTAACCAAAAAGTAATCACCACAACAGTTTATTATTGACCGTATTTAGAAAATCAAACAGAACTTTATTGTTGCAGACCATTGTCAAAATCACCCGTGTTAAGGCAACTCCAATTTCAAAGGTGCTATTTATTAGCATTAGGAGTACTGTTTCTATCAAAACACAATCGCCAGTGGGAATTTCTCCAACATTTTCGATAATGATGAACAAATTCCATAACAGCTTAATTCAATTCAATTTTCTGTGGTAAACCAAATGAATTATATATATATATATATATATATATAAACTAAGTTGTCTACGGTTGTATTCTCCATGTGAAAGGGAATTCAAAATCCCATTCACCATTTGGGACTGGAAAAATTGTGAAAGCATACTCATGAAATTCAGAACGAGAAATGAATTTTCGTTCTTTGCAACTCTACGAAATAATTGCTTACCGTGGACGCTACAGCCATGACCACAGAATAACCGAAACCTAAACCAAGTCCTTGTAACACCGCATATGTTATAACAACACCGACAAAAGTCTTCTGAATTGTAAAATATGTCAACAAAATGCTTGCACTAGAAGAGAAAAGGCAAAAGTACATTTCTTTAAATTCTTCTGGTGGCAGGAGTCAGAAAAAAAGGATTAATTAATACTGAACATGATACTGGAGAAAATTACAAATGCAATATTTCCTAAATGCACTTGGCATATGGCTGATCCCACAACGTTTACAAATATTATTGGAAAGAAACTTGATATGAAATCAAGTTACTGGAAAACACTTCAGGTGATCTCAAAGGACAGATTCAAAACATGAAGTTAAAGCATGAACTCCCAACCAACTAATAAAAGCTACTTCTAACTCATATAAGACAGTGTTTTGAACTGAAAACCAGAAATACTTGTTTACCTGTCCAGTAAACAGCTGGCTGCCACAACGATACGACAACCAAATCTTTTCGCAGTAACACCACCAAAAGGCATAGCCACACCTTCCATGGCAAGGGCGAGTGCAGACAGCCATATAGACAATGTGGGTGACACATGTGGATCGACGTATGTTATAGTATATCCCATCATATAAGGAACCAAGTTTGCTGACATATAATAATTCAATGAGAACTTACCAGTACTGTAGAAGAATCCATATGCAAAATGAATTAAAATGCCTCCAAAAACGGAAATACATCCAAAAATCAGGTTACGCGTTTTTTCTTTCTACGATTCATCAGTATTATTTCAAAATCTGAAGCTCACCATTGTAACAATTAGAGTTGGTAACCTCGTAATCTATCAAGAATTTTAAATTGTGTTAAATGCCGTGAGGATGTAGGTCATCAACTTTGTGAAGTTAAACAAAATGTTTTAGACATTGTGATGAAAGTAATTTTGGATCTGTGTTATATCCAATATCCAATATCGTTTTTACGAGCTAGTATAAACCAATTTGATTTCTTTGTGCTCGCTTCTTGATTGTGAGGTATAGGTTCTTGATCTTCGGTAAACTTCTGCGTAGCTTGTCCCGCCACTCGACTGTCGTAGCTTTGGTTGACTCCAAAGGGAGTAGTGCTGGGATTAATTATATGTGGTTTGTAGTATGAGGTATGTTAAGACTGTTACTACTGTGATTGGAGTTGATCCTTTCGCCAGTTAGTCCTTCGGTATTGTCGACAAGAGAAAAGAGATAGTAATAATAATAATAATAGTAATAATAATAATAATAGATATAATTAGTGAAGCTATTCAGACTAAGAGACAGAAACGAAAATAGGAAACGTAACAACAGTCAGCTCATGAAGTTTGAAGAATAATATATATATCGGTAATAGTAATAATAATAATAATAGTAATTATAATATTAATAAGTTGTCAGGAGAGTAAGACGGGAGAGAATGTAAAGAAGTAAAATGACGAGTTTAATTATCTACCCTGATTGGTAAATGCGATTTTAAGGAGATAGGCCATTTGGATGCAGTCCTTGTATCGCTGCATGGTTGTCCAGCCTTCGCTTAAAGGCGTCCAAAGACGGTGCCATAGCTACATCTGCCGGTAAGGAATTCCAGGGACGACAAACCCGCAGTGAAAAGAAGTGGGAGCGCACCCGGGTCCTTGCCCTCTGGTGAGCTATCCTTCTGGGATTTCCACGTGGAAGCCTATACCTACTCAATGGCAGAACACCTTTGTTTGGGTGATTCTGGTCATTTGTTATTTTGTAGGCAGTAATCAAATCCCCCCTAAGCCGACGGTAACTAAGTGTGAACAGGCCTAATTTCTTCAGCCTTTCATCATATGGTTTGTTTCGGAGACCAACCACTCCTTTTGTTGCCCGTCGTTGGACTCTTTCCAAGAGGTTGGCATCTCTTCTCAGCATTGGGGGTGCAATAATATTATGCACCTCAAGGTGTGGCCTGACGTATGTTTTGTACAACATTAGAAAGAGCTCAGGAGTGAGTGCACCTAACTGTCTATGCGTAAAGTGTATGACCGCATATGCCCTCGCTACATCCCCTGTGTAATTTACGCTTGTGTCCATTTTTTCCGTTAGAACTAGACCTAAGTCGCGTTCCGACGTTGTGCAGGACAAGCTTTCATTGCACAGGGTGTAACTTGCATTCTGCAGTCTACAGGTGCGCAACTTCACTACTTTGCACTTTTTCAAGTTGAAAGTCATGCCACTGGCCACCGCCCAGTCTTCCAGAAGGTTTAGGTCTTCCTGTAGCCTATCTGAGTCCTCCGGACACTTTATCGCCCTCCATATTTTTACGTCGTCAGCGTACAGGAGAGTCGGGCAGCTCAGACGGCGTGGTAGATCATTGATGAAAATCAAAAACATCAGTGGTCCTAGGATAGAACCCTGCGACACTCCTGATGACGATCTGTGCCAAGATGATCGGACTCGGTTAACCTTAGTGCAAAATTGCCTGTCGGCTAGGTAGTCCTTCAACCATGACAGAAGTGGCTCACCTATGCCTGCCTGTCTTATTTTATGTAGGAGAAGGTCATGGTGAACAGTGTCAAATGCCTTCTCAAAGTCTAGGAAGACCACATGGACTGGTACGTTCAAGTCCCAGCATGATGTCCAGTCGTCCCAAGCTGACAGTAGGTTAGTGACGCAGGATCTGCCTTTTCTGAAACCATGTTGGGCTTCATGCAGTATATTAGTCCTATCGAAATATTCCCTGATGTGGTCGTCAATAATACTTTCCAGTACTTTTGATACCACTGGGAGTAGAGCTACTGGTCTATAGCTAGCAGCGTTTTGCCTGTCCCCACCCTTGAAGATTGGAGAAAGGATGGCTCTTTTCCACTCCCTTGGCAGGGTCCCCGAATCCATTGAGTGTTGGAACAAGTCGCACAGGGGTCTACAGAGAGCCTCGGCGCACTGTTTCAGAACAGATGGCCTGATGTCATCACAACCTGGGGACTTCCCAGGTATGAGTCGCTGTAGCTTCCTTAGTACTATTGCGGGGTTTATTTGGGGAGTAGTCGCTAGGTCTTCCTCCTCTGAAATAGTGGTGCCACCATTTTGGTCCGTAACTGTAATATCCACATTGCTGTTTAGCTGTTTAGCGAAGGCTGAACTGAATGTTTCAGCCATCTCCAGACTAGTGAGATATTGACCGTTTGGGCCTACTAAGGCGCATGCCCCTTGGTTTGTCGGTTTTCTTTCCGACATGAATCGGTACAAGTTTTTAGGGTTTGATAGGAGTTTTTTAGCAAGGTTAGCCTGGAATGACCTTCTGTCCCTCCTAACTCTTGCATTACACCGGTTCCTGAGTTCGAGGTATGCATCATGGTCGGTCTGACTCTTAGATACACGCCACGTAAACCAAGCCCTCCGCTTTGCTTGCAGAATACGTTGCGTGCCTCTCTTCAACCATGACGTCTTTCTCTTAGGCTGTGTTGTGACTAAAGGGACGGTATCCGAGATTGCTGCATGGATAATCTTTTTTACCACTTCCCAGTGTTCATCCACAGATAGGTCGTCCCATGCTAAGGGCCAGTCTGCGTCGGACAAGAGCCTCCGCATTTCAGCATAGTCAGCCTTGCTGTAGCACAGACATGGTCGCGTAACATCCCATTGCAAACGCTCACGGAGGACAAGATCGAAACCTATGACTGCATGGTCACTGCTTCCCAGAGGAGTCATGATCTGGACCTTTTCGACGAGTAGCTGGTCACTAGTTAGAATATAATCTAGTTTTGATGACTTTCCACTAGGGCCCCACCTAGTGTCGTCTCCAACATTCTCAGTCAGTCCCGTGTTTCGAATAGTTTGCAGTAGGTTTCGGCCAAATTTTCCCTTAGCACACCCGGAGCCAAGGTTCAGTGATGGAGCATTGAAATCTCCAGCTATGGTGATTTGGTCGTAGCCCAAATCTCGTATTCCTGTGATAGTGCTGAGCAGTAGCTGATTGTGCTCTGCCCCACAGGTGGGAGATCGGTAGATGCCACCCAGTAAGTGCTTGGTGTGGCCTACGGTGAAATGACACCATATGGAGTCTGGGAGTTCGATAAGTGGTGGGTCCGTTGCGCGCACACATTTAAGTTGCCTATCAAAGTATATAGCAACTCCCCCTCCTTCCTTATTATCCCTGTCTCTCCTGACCAGTACCATATCACCTATACTGATTTCATTGTCGGCGATAGTGGGGTTTAGCCACGTTTCAGTAAGAATGATTATTTTCAGTTGAAGGTGTGCTTGGAGATTTCGGAGTTCACCTACTTTCCCTCTCAGCCCCCTCACATTGCTATATAGGCAACTGACAGTGAGTCTAACAACCTCAGAGTGTTGTGGGGTAGTTGACGTGAAACCGTCTGCTGGTGGGGGACTTGATGTTGGAACTAGTTGGCCGATTCCGATAGAACCGGCCCGTTGTAGTTTTTTTCAATGGATTTAGGCAGGACACTTGGGAGACACAGACTATTATTCTCAGAGCTGCATCGCTCTAGTGTCACCGAAGCTTGGGGTCGTATTAAAGCCTCAGTTTGCTGCCTCCTTATATTTCTGGGTCTGCTTTCACAGCATCGGATGTGTCCTCCAATTTTTCCCTTGGTCTCATACCACCGTTGAAGTGATATGGACAACTGCTCCGGGGAGTTGAATGTGACACACAGCAGCTTTGGAGAGTTAATCAATGTTAGATGAGCGGGACGAGGTAGTCGGAAAATGGAGATGGCTCCAGAAGCGCCAGGGGCCATCTGAGATGACAGCCATCTCCATTGTTGTACGTCGTGCATGTGTTTTTCACAAGCAGTGCCGGTTTCCAGCTCCGGAACACCGTGTACCACCATAGAGGTGGAAGGCATCAGTTCCGGTGACTCCCTCGCCATATTTCTGACGGCCCATGGTCTATCTTGCCGCGCTCTTATGTTAGAACTTCTGTCCAGGGCTAGTACCTGAGCCATTAACAGTACTTTTTCGGCCTCTTCGGCAGAGTCCAGTGTAACCCGTAATGGGGGTGGCTTACCCTGAGGCGTGTGGACACCCCTGTACAGTCTGCACAGTTTTGCTGAACTAATGTTCAGACCTAGTTTGCCGCACAGGTTGGACCACTGTTCCTGATCAAACAGGGCCCGTTGTTCGAGCAAGCTATCCGTGCTCACAGGTACGTTAAAGAGGATGAGAGAGTTAGACCGACTACCCTCAGACTTAGGTTTTGCCTTCGGCTTCTTGCAGTCCTTTGCATCATTAGCAACATTAGGCTTCGTCGGTACCTGGACAGCCTTTTTTGTGTTGCCAGGCTTGCTAGTGGATGCAAGTGGTGCCTTTGTAATTTTGCCCTCCCTTGATGTGGATGGAACCTTGCTAATCTTCACCTTGTGAGAATTGGCATTTCCAGTCAGTAGGGCTGGTGTGTCCTTCTTTAAGTCTTTGACCAGTTTCGGCAGTGCGAGTTTAGCAGGGGGGAGCTGCATGATACTGTGTTGGGGCACAAGAGCATGTTATTTCTGCTATCCGCAGACACGCTTTGTGGGACTATGCCAGGGCGACAAAGTGGACACACGTACCAAAACCATGGGCATGGGTTATTTCTCATAAACTCATAGTATGCTTTCGGTACTTCTTTGTCACATATATATATATACTGCTTGTTGATTTCGGCTGCATCATCTAGAGGCGAAATGAAGCTAAGGCTCACACTAGTACTAATAGCTTTCTGAATAGTTTGTATCCAATAATCAATATCGTTTTTACGAGCTAGTATAAACCATTTTGATTTCTTTGTGCTCGCCCCTTGATTGTAAGGTAAACGTTC